GAGCGCAGCAGGGGACGGGGGCAAGGGCCGACGCCGGCGGGGGCGGGGGTCGCTACTTGTTCGACTGCCAGACGACAATGTGGGAGATGTCGGCGGCGTAGCCTCCGCCCGAGGGGCCGGCGAGGGTGACGGTGTTTTTGCCCGCGGCCAGGTTGACCTTGACGGGCGTGTCCTGGAGGTGGCCGGAGAGGCTGCCGCCGGTGGGGAAGGTGACGGCGACGGGTGCCGAGGAGCCGACCTGGATGGTGCCGGACCTCCAGTTGGGGTAGCTGTCGCTGTTGACATAGTAGACGCTGACCCACACGGCCCCGGCGCTGCCGTCGGGCGTCTGGACGCCGCTGAGGGTGACGGAACCGCCGGCGCCGATGTAGGTGCCGATCTTGCCCGAGGGGCAGGCCGAGCAGGCGGCGAAGACGGTCTTGGCGTTGGAGCCCGACACCTTGCCGGCGCTGAGCGAGTAGGTCGTCGAGGCCGGCGACGTGTAGCTGCCGTCCTGGAGGTTGATGCGCCACAGCGGGCGGTAGTCGAGCACGTTGTCCTTGAACGGCTGCCACACGTAGCGCGACTGGCTCAGGTCCGTCTCCCACCACCGGTCGCCGATGTAGACCTCGGTCGAGCCGATCGAGAGCTCAAACGTGTTTTGCCTGAGGCGGGCGGGCATGGGCGGGCGGGCGAAAAGGGGTCCGGTGTCAGCATGCTGGATGCGCACGAGACTCTGCCAGGCTGCGAGGCGAGGCTGGCGACGACTCACGAGTTGTACGTGTTGAGGTCCTCGGGGGCGATGGCGTTGGCCTTGGTCCAGGGCCCGCTCATGGACGAGGCCGTGTAGCGGTAGTTTGGGTTGGGCCTCCAGCCGCTCTGGCCGCTGAGGATCATGTTGTATTGGCCTCCGCGCTTGAAGACGCCGAATCCCTCGAGGCGGCCGGGGATGGTGGCGACGCGCTTGACGAGGCCCGTGTAGTCGGGCGTCATGGTGGCGACGGCCGTCTCCTGGTTGTCGTTGGTGGCAAAGATGAGGTAGCCGGTCTTGTCGTCGTCGACGTAGACGTTCATGTCGCGGCTCTCGAGGCCGAGCGGGCTAAAGACGGAGCTGCAGTCATAGGGGCCCGCCACGGCCGAGGCGGTGCAGACGCCCACCTGGGCCTTGGAGTAGTTGCTGCTGTCGGCGTGGAACCAGAGCACGTACTTGCCCGTCGACGCGTTCTTGATGATCTTGGGCCGCTCGCCCACCTGGAACGGCAGGCCCGACGTGGCCTGGACGACGAGGCCCTTGTTCTGCCAGTTGATGAGGTCCGTCGACGTGTAGAGCGAGAAGCCCCTGAAGCCGTTGGACTTCTCCTTGTACTCTCCGACCCAGTAGAACTGGTTGCCCTCGCGCAGGATGCCGGCTGGCGTTCCCGGGGGGCGGCGGTAGGGGATGAGGAGCGGGGCGATGACAGGGCAGATGAGGTCAGCGGCCGTCGTTCGGTGGGCAGAAGAGGGAGGGGGCCTGCTGCGAGGAACGTACCGGCGTGAGCGTTGATAAAGTTGCCGTCTGAATCCTTCCACCGGTCGCCGCTCACGATGTAGTTTTCGGCGCCGAGGGCGAGCGGGAGCAGGCTCGAGAGGGCGAGGCCGACAAAGAGGCCCAGCTTGGAAAAGGGCGAGAGCATGGCAGCGCAGCGTCGTTGCAGAGGGGAGGAGGGAGAGGCGGACGGCAACGGGCGAGGATCGAGGTGGGGCGCGGGGGAGATGGGCAGGGCGAGGATGGATGCGAGATCGCTCGCAAAGGGATCGTCGAGACCATGCCTGGTCTTATAGGTGAGTGGTACTACCGCCGCCGCTCGCACGCTGGCTGGCGCAGGACAAGGGTAGGTGGCAGCACAACGTACTACTTACCTCTGGCATTCGCGCTGGCCCTTCTTCGTGCCAGCCGCTTGTTCGAGGCGCGGAACAATGGCAGGCGGCCTTGGCTCGAAGGGATGGCCGTGTCGCAATCGACGCAGGCTGCCGCTCCAGCCGTGCACACCAGTGCCAGCGATGACCGGCCAACGATGCCCGAGGTGGGTAGATCCGTGCCTGTGTGTGTACCTGCACCGCCTGGGCCCCACCCACGAAGCGCAGCGGTCAGGGGTGAGAATAGCGATCTACGCTCGCTCGCTCAGATCCAGGCGAGGTGTGAGCGCAGCGCATGGCGTAGCGTACAGCAGCGTGGCGTGGCAATCTTTCCAGGGATGCCTGGCCAAAGGAGGTCCGGCCAGGCACCTCGAGGTTAGAGGAGGGCGGTGGTGAGGGGCCGGGGGCCGGGGGGCGCTGTTTGACGTGCGGAGTGAGGCCGCAACGCAGCGGTTCTCCTGGCCTTTTCCTTCGCTTCGGCCACCCGCCGCGGCAATCTCTCCATCTCGAAGGGCAACGAGGAGGGGAAAGGGGATCGACGACCGTGCAGTCCATCGACGACGGAGAAGGCGCCGTGAAGCGAGGCGGCGAGGCGAGGCGAGGCAAGACATCGAGCGGCGTTGGGACCGTACGTACATAGCATGGCGCTCTGCGGGGCACAAGAAGAAGGGCTGCCAGACCTGGCGGACCGCCTCGCTCGGATCAAGACATACAACCAGGCGGGCAGGCAGGCAGGCAGGAACAGGCCGGTGCGAGCGCGGCGCCACCCACACCCGCACCGTGCTGCGGGTTGCAACGGCATGACCACGCTAGGCTCCCTCTTGCCTACAGCGGCCTGCCTACTGGTGAGCTCGGCCGTCGTGCGGCCGCGGATTGGACGTGCTGAGATTGCCGTCAAAGCGAGCCGGCCCCTTGGTCGTACAACGTAAGTGGTGCGTGTGCTGCGGACGTGACTTCCCCGCACTTCCCTCTCGCTCGCTCACACCGGTACCGCTCCTCCCTTTTGTCTTGGCGGCCAACGGCAGCAACCTGTCGGCTAGCCCCGCAACTCCGCCTGACTATCCTCCGACCCGGGTCAGCGCTTTCGCCAGCGAGGGAAAGGCTTGCGGGCCGGCCAGTGGTTATTAAGGCCAGGCCAGGCAGCGTCATGCTCGCAGCTCGCTACAATACACAGGGCAAGAGGCCAACGCAGCGACCATCATCGCCTTCGATGCCGCAGAGCACCAAGCGGCAGGCTGTGCTGTGGCCACGGTCATCATACACGCATAAGGGCCCGGACGACCGACGTCGAGCTCAGGCACCCTCCGGTGCTGGCCCACGGTCACTCGACGAGTGGGTCGTCATACACGGCACACTCTACCTACTGCATAGCGCCCGACCGAGGCGGCGGCGGCGGCGTCGGCGGCTGTGCGGGCGAGGCGGTGAAGCTTCCCCTGCTCGGGAGTGGGCGAGCCATCAATCCGCCGCCGGTCGACGCTCAACTCGCACAGGCACTCCGCGGCTCCCCAGCGTTCGGCAGAGAGACGGTAAGTTGGCCAGGCGAGGATGGCTTCGCAGCGCGCTCCTTCAGCCTACCTACCCATCTGGCATTGCAACTCAAGCAAAGATGTCCGAAGCCACCTCTGGGGCGTCGACTCTCTGCCTGCCGCACACATGCGAGGAGGCGAGCTTGAGCTTGACGCAGCGAGCACGGCTTGGAACCTCGGCGGTGCCCGGCACGCGATGGCACGGTACGGTTCGCCCTCGGGATGCTCGGTCCTCGCCACCCGGTGTCCGTCGTGGCGTACGCCATTCTACCTAGCCTGTCCCACCCTCCTCTCGCCGGAGGTGGCTGAGCATGTCCTTGCGGCGGCGCCGAGGCTGGGCTCAGCCTGGGCCAAGGGGAGCGTCTAGCCCGATTCAGATCTCGACGCTATCTTTTTCCGATTCTGAACCCGATCCCGATGCCTTTCGTCTGCCAAAGCGGGCGGCTGTGATTGGCCAGAGGGAGATGGGCAAGCTCCGCTCGCGCGAGACGTCCAATGGCCGCCTGGCCTTTTTCGACCGATCGCGCGCGAGGCGGCCGGCGTTGGCCTGGGCCTTGAATTTGTAACCAGGCTCGCCTCAGCGGGCGCTCGGCGGAACCGGGCACAGCCGTCCCCGCCCGCCTGCCAGGCCAGACCAACCTTCTCGTCGTCGTCGCCGCCGCCGCCGCCGCCGCCTCCGCGCCCGCTCTGCAGCCAGCTCGCCCGCACTCGCCCGCCCGCCCGCCCGACGTGCCTGCCTTTGCCATCTTCCGGGACCCTTCCATCGCTCTCGACCCTCACCTCACCTCACCTCACCCCTCGTCGTCCTCACCTCGTCGCAGGCAGCGCAGGCCTCAACACACCCAGCCGACGCCCGCCACTCGACCACCATCACCGCCACTACCACCACTGTCGCCACCGCCACCGCCCGCCCACGAGGCATCGTCAGCAGCAGCAGCAGCAGCAGCAGCCACTCAGCCCTCGCCTTCCACGTTTCTTGCGGCGGCCATCTCACCGCCATTTGGCTCGACTAGACCCCTTCACCCCGCCTTCACTCCGTACAGACGGTGCGAAAGCCTGACACCGCCCCGCCATGCTTCGCTCGCTCGTCGCTTCCACCTCGGCCGCCAGGCTCGGCGGCTCGTCGGCCACCGCCACCGCCACCAAGGCCATGGGCGGCCGCGTCGCTACCTTTGCCACCTCGGCCACCGCACGACAGGCCACCCCCGCACCCGCACCCCCCAAGATGGTCAAGCTCACCATCAACGGCAAGGAGATCGAGGTCGAGCAGGGGTGAGTAGAGCTCAGTGGCGTGGCTTGGCGTGGCGTGGCATGGCGCCCCAGCTCGAGGGCCAGACCAAATGCCGGCTCGCAGCGCCTCTCGACGTGGTGCCGCAGAGAGGCTTCGCTGCCGTCCCTGCTAGCCTACCACGCTTCGCTTTCGCGACGGACTGCGATCTGACCAGCCTCTCTTCTCCTGTGACCTTAACCTTCCCTGCCCTGTCCGCCCCGTTTCGCTACAGCACCGCGCTGATCCAGGCCTGTGAAAAGGCCGGCGCCCAGGTGCCCCGGTTCTGCTACCACGAGCGCCTGATGGTGGCGGGCAACTGCCGCATGTGCCTGGTGGAGAGCAAGGGTGCGCCCAAGCCGCTCGCCTCGTGTGCCTTTCCCGCCCTCCCCGGGCAGCAGATCTTCACCGACACGCCGCTCGTCGCCAAGGCGCGCGAGAACGTCATGGAGTTCCTGCTGGCCAACCACCCGCTCGACTGCCCCATCTGCGACTGGGGTGGCGAGTGCGACCTGCAGGACCAGTCGATGCGCTACGGCTCCGACCGTTCCCGCTTCCACGAGATCAAGGGCAAGCGCGCCGTCGAGGACAAGAACCTCGGCCCGCTTGTCAAGACTGTCATGACCCGCTGCATCCAGTGCACCCGCTGCGTCCGCTACGCCAACGACATCGCCGGCGTCCAGGACATGGGCACCACGGGGCGCGGCAACGACCTCCAGATCGGCATGTATGTCGAAAAGGTCATGAACTCGGAGATGTCGGGCAACATCATCGACCTGTGCCCTGTCGGCGCCCTGACGTCGAAGCCGTACGCCTTCCACGCGCGGCCCTGGGAGCTCAAGAAGACTGAGTCGGTCGACGTCCTCGACGCCGTCGGATCCAACATCCGCGTCGACTCGCGCGGCGTCCAGGTGATGCGCATCCTGCCCCGCACCAACGACGACGTCAACGAGGAGTGGATCAACGACAAGACGCGCTTCGCCGCCGACGGCCTCAAGTACCAGCGCCTCACCACGCCCCTCATCAAGCAGGGCGACCGCTTCGTGCCGGCCTCGTGGCCCGAGGCGCTCGCCACCATTGCCGAGGGCCTCCAGCAGACGGGCGCCAAGGGTGACGAGATCAAGGCCGTCGCCGGCGCCCTCGCCGACGCCGAGTCGATGACGCTGCTCAAGGACCTCGTCAACCGCCTGGGCTCCGACAACCTCGCCACCGACCAGGTCAACGGCGACCAGCCGCCCATCCACGGCGCCGACTTCCGCTCCAGCTACACGTTTGCCTCGACCATCCCCGGCATCGAGGAGGCCGACGCGCTGCTCCTCGTCGGCACCAACCCGCGCCACGAGGCGGCCATCGTCAACACGCGCATCCGCAAGGCCTACCTCCACAACGAGCTCGACGTCGGCCTGGTCGGCGAGGCCGTCGACCTCACCTACGACTACGACCACGTCGGCACCGACGCCAAGGCCATCCAGGACATTGCCGCCGGCAAGGGCGAGTTTGGCAAGAAGTTCAAGGAGGCCAAGCGGCCCATGATTGTCGTCGGCTCGGCCGTCATGGAGCACGCCGACGGCAAGGCCATCGTGGGCCAGCTGGCCGAGCTGGTCCAGGCCAACAAGGACCGCCTGCTCAACGGCGACTGGAACGGCTACAACGTCCTGCAGCGCCAGGCGTCGCGCACCGCCGCCCTCGACATTGGCTTCGTCCCCTCGCCCGCCGCCGCCAAGACGACGCCCAAGTTCATCTACCTGCTCAACGCCGACGACATCTCGCCCGAGTCGATCCCGCGCGACGCCTTTGTCGTCTACCAGGGCCACCACGGCGACGTGGGCGCCCAGTACGCCGACGTCTGCCTGCCCGGCGCCGCCTACACGGAAAAGGCGACGACGTTTGTCAACACCGAGGGCCGCACCCAGGTGACGCGCGCCGCCGTGCCGCCGCCGGGCGCGTCGCGCGAGGACTGGAAGATTATCCGCGCCCTGTCCGAGGTCATGGGCGCGCCGCTCCCCTACGACGACCTGCTCGACGTGCGCGACCGCATGTTTGAGGTGTCGCCCACGCTGGTCCGCTACGACGTGGCCGAGCCAGCAACGGCGTCGGCGCCCCTCGCCGTCGAGAGCCTGGCGCAGCTGGCAAAGTCGCCCGTGTCGGGCACACCACTGCTGCGGCCCATCCAGAACTTCTACCAGACCGACCCCGTTTCGCGGGCATCGCCGACGATGGCCAAGTGCGTGGCGGCCTTTGTCGAGCAGCTGCCCATGGACAAGGTCGAGGGCAAGGCGTCGCTCGCCTCGTTCAACTGAGCAGCCGTTCGCGTGTAATGTAACGTAGCAGCTTGGTAGCCATGCCGCCATCCAACGCGATTTCCTTTCTTCTCAGGTGCCGACAGACGGCGCCGCGTCGTCGTCGTCGTCCACGGCTGCGCGGGGCAGTGCCAGACGAGAAGCCGCCTGATCGTCGAGTGAGCACGACCGAGAGTGCATCTGATTCCGAGAACCGCCTTCGGACTGGTCGATCGGGCGGGCGGTGAGGATGGAGGTGCGGGGGGCCGTACCAGGCCGTAGAGACGAGGACGACGTACGAGGCGGGACGAGGTGAGGCGAGGCCAGATGCGGTCTCAGGACGAGGCGCAGACGACATCTTCGTCAAGACGCCGCGGGGGGTCTATTTGCGTACCGGCGGCGGTGCAAGCCAGCCAAAGCAAGGGCTAGCGAGGGCGGAGGGGCGGGCACATGCCATGCACGTCCCGACCATCGCGTCCTACGCCACATGTCTGTGACGGCAGAGGCAGGTCGACTCGAGGGCGCGTCGAGCTGCGGTATCGCTGGCAACGAGCTGGCAGCGAGCTGGCACGGCGACCAAAGCCAAGCAGGCAGACCGACCGGATTTTCGCATGCGCGCTGGCCTGGCGCCAACCGACGGTCGGTTAGGGCCAGGTTGAGTCACTTCTTAGCGCCGCCTGGTCGATGTCGACGGAGCGTACGTACGTCGCCTGCCTTGCCCTTTTTCAACATCTCCAATCCCCGGTCTGGCATCTTTTCCCGGCGGTTCGAGCATCGAGCATCATCGAGATGCTACGTACACCGGCCTGCGTCTGAGGATCGAGGACGATGTGGTCGATGATGTTCGAGAGGAGACGTACGCGGCGTCGTTGGATGGCCTGGCCTGCTGGCCTGGTTTTTGGCGGAAAGGCAGAGCAAGGGACGGCCGGGCCGCTCCATCTTCGGCCCACAGCTTCCGAGCGCAGGACGGCAGACGCGCAGAGAGAAGCCAAAAGCCCAACTCCGACTCTTCTTGGCCTGGCTTGGCCTGGCCTGCCCTCGCCTGGCCTGTGACCCGCCAGCGCAAGCCGTTGCCGAGCGAGGGTTTGTGGCACCTTGATGAAAACACGAAGGCAGGCAGGCAGGCAGGCAGGCAGCACCGGCCAGCAGCCCTCGTCTGGAAGGCAGCGACCGCGCCGCCAGGCTCTGGACCAGTCTTGTTTCGCTGGCCCGCCATATCAGATAGATAGAGAGCGTCGTTGTTTGGCTTGGCGTTCGGAGCGGAGGCCGCCGCCACCAGAGTCCCTCGCGCCCGTCCATCCTCGCCGACGCCGCCGGCGGCGACCTCGAGGGCACGTCATCGTATCCTGCCTCGTCGCCGTGGTCGTCGTACGTCGTCGTCGTCGTCGCCGCCGTCTGATTGCCATGCGCGGTGGCACCGTGTGCGCTGCGTTCAAACGCCGTATCGAGGCCGGCAGGCCATGCGGGTGGCAAAGCGCAGCACTAGTCAAGAAGTGCGTGGGTGCGGTGCGTCGACGCCGGGACGGATGCGTGGGGGGGAGGCAGCAGGCAGGCCAGCCGGTGAGGCAGGGCCAGAAAGGGCCTGCAGCCTTCGTTCATCGAGCGCGCTAAGAGAGCTTTGTCCCTGCCAACCCCGTCGCCCCTCTTCGGCCTACTCTTGCCGCCGCCGCTCCGAGAGTGGCCTAGGGCAGGCAGGCCAGCGCCACGGGCAGGCCTGCTGGCTGGCGGTCAACATGACAGCCCAGCGGAGCGCTTGGCCTCCCACGGCCTGCCAATCTTGAATCGGCCACCGTCTGCCTGCCAACGGAACAAACGACGGCCAGCAGTCGAAACCCCTTCGACGTCTGGCCGCCAGACCTTGCTCCCTCTCTGCGTCTCTGGCCTCTCTCTCTCTGGCCTACCTCTGACGCCGCCTCTGCCGTACCGTAGCTCCGCTGCATTTCATCTCGCCGCCGAGCCTCGGACCTTGCTCGCTCGCGGCCCCGGTACCACGTCCAGCCAGCCAGCCAGCCAAGGGGGCCCCTCTGCACTCCCTCTCGACCCACCAAACGCAGGCCGACTTGCCGCCACCTCGCGTCTCGACCAGCATCTCGGCCACCATCACCTTTTCCCCTCCCTGTCGGGTTGACGAGCATACGCCGCAGTCCACGCTACTCTCTTCTCACTGTCGCCATCGACCTCGCTCCGTCTCTTGCCCGCTCCAAGGCGCCGCAGCTGTCTTTGCGCCTCGCTCCCGCGCGCGCACCGCTCCGCATAGCGGGACCGTGAGGTTGCGGCCTGCCCATCGAGCCGGCACCCATCCGACGAACGCTTGCTTTCATCTTTTGCCACGACTCGACGACTACTGTGCCTCTGCACTGCATTCAATTGCTTTTTCGGCCCCCACTTTACTACTCTGCCCTTGTGCTGCGTGCCCTTTCCATCGGCCCACCCGCACCCTAGCCTCGCCCTTTGCCTTGGCCCTCGCCCTCACGCCCGCCCTCCTCGACCGGGGATGCCCTCGACCCATCTCTAGCCTCTCAGCGCAAAGCACCCGAGACGTTCCCCTTGTCGTCGTCCGGCAGCGAGACACCGACTTGCTTCTGCCCCGGCCATACGGCTGGCCGCTACACGGGCACGCATCCCCCGCTCGACAGCGAAGGCGGTCTCGAGCGACTAGCAGCTTGATCCTCCGCCTGAGCAAGCTCTCCGCCCTCCGTCAGCATCGCCGCTGGCCTTCTTCAGCGACGTCGGTGCAGCCCGAAGTTCCCAGCCGTCGGGGCCGCCGCTCCATCCTCCCCCGCCCACCATGCCGCTGCCACATCCGCATCTGCCTCGCCTTCCCTCGTCCATCAGGGTGAGGAGGACAGAGACCGATCAGCGACAGAGAGCTGCCGACGTTTTCCGCAGCCAGGACGATGAGAGGCTGCGCGAAGAGGTCCGCCTGGCCCAGAGAGCCATCCGCGACCAGGAAGCGGCGGGGCCCTCGTCGTCGCCCTCGCGGCAGCAGCCCCAGTTCATCGGCGGGTCAAGCCCCGAGAAGCGCATCAGTCGCAGCGCCGTCGAGAAGCTGGCCATGCGGCACAAGGAGATGCAACGCCAGCAGCGCAAGGAAAAGAAGCGCAGGCAGAGGCTCAGCTCCCACTCGACCTCTGGCTCATCGGCCCCATCGACGCGCACCGCCTCGCCCGTCCCCGCCTCGATCATCGTCGAGCCGCACGAGCTCAGCGCCGTCGCAGAAGAGACGACCCCCCGGTCCTTGGCCATGGCCTCGGGCGCCGACCACCTCGACCCCAACTCGCTCCAGGGCCAGCACTCGTACTTCACCCCCAAACGCGGCCACTCGCTCTCGCCAAACACTGAGCTGCAAAAGGTCAGCTCACGCGGAGACGGCAGCAGCGGCAGCGGCGGCGCCCCGGCTCCTGCCGACAACCGGCCCTCGCTCGCAGCCCTCTTTCGGCCCGCCGATGGCATCTCACCCGGAGCGACGGGACCCGGGCCCGTTCCGGCCGCCTCCGGCGTCGCCCCCTCGGCCGCCGGGACCGCATCGTCAGCACCACAGGAACCCCAGGCGGGTGCGCCACCCGCACACCAGCAGTGGCAGAGCTACCACTTTCCCCGGCAGCAGGACGACGGCACCGCCCGGTCCGGCCGCCCCCTCACCTTCGGACAAGGGTCCCGCGCTGGCGTCTACGGCGAGGGCGAGGGCGACGTCGAGGCGCAGCGTGGGCGCGAGAGCGACGACGACGACGACGACGGGGCCGCCGGAGAAATGCCGACCACCGACTCGTCGACGCCCAACTCTTCTAGCAGCGACATGCACGAGGACGAGGTGGTCGACTACCTCGACGTCGTCGACCCCGAGATCTCGACCGTGACGACGCTTCAGAACGTCGGCAACTCGATCTTCTTCCCGCCCATCCCGATGCTCTACAGCCGACGGCCCACCATCAACCTGCCTTCGGGGGCGCCGCGTCGGCCCTCGATCTCGCGCACCCAGACGGCGCCGGACGTGTCGCCGAGCCAGGAGGCGCGGCGGGGCTCGGACCCGTACGCGCTCGGCGGGCCATTGGCGCCGCAGCGGTCGTCGCTGCGCCGCAACACGCTGACGCGCATGTCTTCACTGATGAGCTTTGGCGCGGGCAAGCCGGCGGCGCCCGAGGTGAGCGACGAGGAGAAGCGGAAGCACATCAGCGAGTGGGCCGACATGGACGAGGCCGAGCGCAACGAGCTCGACGAGCACGTCGAGATGCTGCTGACGAAAAAGGCCAAGTTCAAGCGCGCCATGAGGGGGTTTGGCAAGTACGTCCGGACGCCGATGGGCTTCATCCTCACGCTCTACGGCTTCCTCATCACGTTCTGGGGCATCGCCATCTGCCTGTTCATCTTCAAGTGGATCGACGTGGGCGACAGCAACCGGCAACGCTACTGGATCGAAATCTGCGACCAGATCCTCTGCGCCCTCTTTGCCGCCGTCGGCCTCGGCTTCGCGCCCTTCCGTGCCGTCGACACGTACCGCATGGTGCAGATCGTCCACTACCACCGGCTCACGTACAAGCGGCGCAAGGAGCTCAACCTGCCCAAGCTCAAGGACAAAAACGAGCTGCCCAGGTCCAAGCCGAGGCTCGCCACGCGCGTCACCCACGCCGCCGGGCTCGGCCGCCTCTCGGGCGCGGGCGAAAAGGCGCCGCAGGACCTGGAAGCCGCCGCCGCCCCTGCCGGCACCACGCCTGGCGCAGAGGCGCCACCTGCAGCGGGCCATGAGCAGGGCCCGGATCAGGGCGAGGGTCACGCGGCGGCAGCAGCACCGCCGGGCGCACCCGTCGTCGGCACCGACTACCAGCACGTGGCCGAGGAGAGCGGCAACGGCTCGGCGAGCGGGACACAGAGGAATGGCGGGTCGAGCGAAGGATCTTACACGTCGATCGTCGGGCAAGAGTGCCATCCGCTCACGACGGTGCTCAACGACGACGACGACGACGACAATGGGGGCGGCGAGCCCGGCGACGGACGTGGTGGCGCGCGGTCGCCGGCCTCGAAGCGCCGGCACAAGCAGCACCGGCAAGGCGCGGGCAAGCACGAGCATGGGCACCTGCGGCGGAAGCGGGTCAAGGCCAAGGTGGCCGAGCCGCTGTCGCCGAGTTACGTCGACAAGGACGGCGTCATCCCGCTCGGGCAGCTGCGGCGCACGGCGTCGATTGCGTCGGAGCTGCCAAAGGACCAGGAGGACGTCGTGGTGCTGTCGCCCAAGCAGCAGGCCAATCTCGAGCACCAGCAGCGCAAGTTCCACGAGTCGCACACCTTCTACCGCTACCGCGAGACGATCACGCACCGGCCGTTTGAGCTGCGGCTGATGATGGTCATCGTCATCCTGCTCGACGCCCACTCGTGCCTGCAGGCGTCGCTGGGAGGCACGACGTGGGGCATCTACTACAAGAACCGGCCCACGTCGGTGACGGCCACCATCATCACGTTTAGCCTGAGCTGCAACATCATCGCCGGCATCATCATCTGGTGGGGCGGGCAGCGGACCAAGAAGACGGAAGAGGTCGAGAGGCTGCTGCGCATCGCGCTCGAGGAAGAGGCGCTGGCCAAGATTGAACGGCGGCGCAAGCGCGCAGAGGAAAAGGAGGCCAAGGTCGTCGCGCTCGAGGGCGGCGGGCGCGGGGCGACGGTCGGCGCCGATCCGGTCCAGGAGGCGGTGCTCGGTGGCGGCGCGC